AATCAGTGACTTCCCAGTTCTTCCTCAAAAGCATCTGAAGACGAGTAACGGTCGCGGCACGGTGGTAGTTGTTACATCTTTAGTTAAAGTATTTCATCATCATCCAAATTTCATATGTGCACAGTAGGAGTGGGATATTGGTTCGATTTGAATCAATCGAACTTAAAATTCAGAAACAGAAAAACGAAACGACCCCTTCTCGTGAAACCAAATCGCGTCAAGACCAAAAGTCGTTAAGTCCTCTCAAAGGTTCGCTTTGGTTTCAAAGAACTTAAAATCGAACGGATAGTGTAATGAGTTTTTCTGTAGTGAGGTTGTGGTTTTTCGGTTTTATCCAGATTGAAAACAATTAGTAAGCGAAAATGGTTTTGGGGTCGGTAAACTAATAAGAGTGCATTACTAGTCAGTTTTAATTTGGTTTAAATAAAAAAATTAAAACCGAATTGACAACACTAATGTACCGTATCGACGTACGTACAATTAAGTAATATATGTAATATAGATTATACTTGGTAGTGGATAACTTATTTGATATTTCAGGATGGAATCTAGTGTATATACACTAAAATAATAGGGGAACCAGTAGGAAGCAGTAGTACATAATGCATGTACCAACTGAGAGAGTTGGCCCGCTCACCATCAACCATTATCCTAACCGCGCTAATAATGCACTTTAAAAATTAATATTTTCATTTTTAATGACTTGACTGACTAACTCCTCACCCGTAACACAATAATAATATGGTGGGAGGGAACCCCACTTTGATTGATGTTAGCAATTAGCATATTGAATTAAATATTAATCAATCTGCTGCGCTTTAATTTTAAACTAATCCCTGTATTACAAAAACTGAATTGAATAAAATTCAAACCAGCCGGCAGCGATGATCGAACAAATTGCAGGGCCCGACCGCTTTCATCAGTTTGCGAATATATAAAAGGCTTAGGACCCAAGCATGCCCCTCAATCGGGACCCCCCAATTTTTCTGGGCCGAAAGTAAATTAGCAAAACCCCTAACCTACCGACCCAGGGCTGCTGCGATTGCTTCTATTCAAATTAGCGGGTTAAGATGGGAATTTTCGCCATACTATTTTTTAATGTAAATTGCACTAATTTTTGAATACTTAATCTTCTCAATGGAAATCTTGCTCAATGTATCATTACAAAATAATTACTAATAAATATTCTACTCGTTCGAAATAGTGGATTTCTTTTTAAACATAACCCACATACATTATATTGCTGAAATATATAAGTTCGGGACCCCCTATCATGCTTTGAAGTTACTATAACTTGAACTGTTTGACCTGCTATATCAACTTTTATAGGTTTCATTGCGTAAATCTAATGTTTATTACGTAACAATTATGTAATGCTTGTTACTCTTACGTAACAGTTAAACTAGAAGCGTTACGCAAGGGTTCCGTAACGACTTATCTTTTTACGTAATGCTATGTTAATATTCATTACGTAAAAACATCGTCTATTTCTATTACATAAGGCTTTCGTAATGACATTTTACAATTGTTAAATAAAAATACAAGCTCATTACGTAAAGGTTACGAAACGAAGGTTATTTCTTATGTAACAGTTAAATTTGAAGTGTTACGTAAGACTTCCGTAATGACTTCCCACATTACATAACTTGATTAATATTCATTACGTAAAAGGACCATCCGTTACGTAAGGCTTCCGTAATGACACTTTAAAACTTTTTTTTGACATCAAAGATACTTTATTTCACGAAATGATTGTGTTACAAGCAAAGCCAATCACAGGAGAGGGAGACAAGATCAAGAATTTGAATCCAATCTGTTGGGAGAGTACCATTACGCGCCTCTTTAGCAACCCAATCAGCTCTTTTGTTACAAGCTCTAGGTACAAAGGAGACTATGATTCTAGCATTGATTGAAAGAATATGCTGCATACAGTGAATCCATGCCATGATCTGCCAATGGCCTCTCTTGTTGGGGGAAAGCCAGACGTCGGTGATGCATTTGCAGTCCGAGAAGACCTTAGTAGAAAGACCGGTGGAATGTGCATACCTGAGAGCGACAAGCACGCATGGCTTTTGCTTCTGCAACAATCGCTTCTGAAGAAAGTAGAGTACCTGCCCTTCCGTCGATTACTTGCCCGACAGTGTTGTAAATAACAACACCATATGCTGCCACTTGTGATTCCGAGTTGAAAGCTCCATCACAGTGTATTTCCAGTTGAAATGAATCAGGCGGTGGGTTAAGAATCTGGCGGGATGGATTAGGCTGATTTCCATGAGGGGATCGAGGGACAAGAGAAGCATCCCTCCAATCCGTGGTAAAGTGGATTATTTTGGTGATGGTGGTGAGGCTGTTAGATCGAGTCCCTTTGAACATAAAATCATTGTGGGCAATCCAGATAGCCCACAATGCAGCAATAATAGCCTTGACAGGGAAGGAGGATTTGTTCAGGGAGATACTTTGAAGCCACATGAGAATGGCCAGTTGCCTATAGGAAGAAGGAGGCCAGGGAAGCAAGTGCTCCAAATGAGAGCTGCATGGGGGCATTCAAACATACAGCGTTGTACGTTTCCAGCCCCGTTCCTGCAAATGAAGCAGATTGGAGAGATGATCACCTTACGGAACCATAGATTCCTTGCCATTGCAATAGCATTCCTCGTCAATCTCCAAATGAATGTTTTGGTCTTCAGAAGGAGAGTAAGACTCCAAAGCCATTTCCAAGCTTGGGTAGAGCAATCTGGGTGGTTCGGATCAGGAGATCTCAATCTTTCTCTTCCAGTGATTCTGAAAATGTGATAAGCTGATTTCACTGAAAACTTTCCATATTTTTTGTGGTGCCAAACCCAATTATCCTCGGTGTCAGGAGACCGACAAGGAATACGTCGAATTGCTTCCACTTCCACGAGAGAGCAACTCTGCTGTAAGAGGTCGACATTCCAATCATTCTCATCATTCATCACCCATTCAAAGGCTTTTAGCTGGGATCTTTGGGCATGCTGTAGGCGAAAACCCGGAATTCCAGGAATCCAGGGATCAACATCAAGGATAATTGACGAGGCAGAAGCAACACTTTAAAATTGCTACGTGAAGTATGCATCTATTATGTAAAGGTTATGGAATGATAGTTATTTTTTACGTAACAGATAAATTAGAAGCGCTAGGTAAGTTTTCCGTAATGATTTCACATATTACGTAACGAAATGTTAATATTCATTATGTAAAATGAGTGTCTATTACGTAAGGTTTGCGTAATGACATTTTCAACTATTACGTAAGATAAACACACATTACGTAACCTTTACGTAATGCCTATTGTACTTTACGTAATGCGACTTGTGAAACATGTTATAGCAGGTGAAAATCATCAAGTTACAATAACTTCAAGGTATTGTAGGAATTTCCTATAAACTCATATATAAGGTGACTTGGACAAACAAAACAACCGGACGCATCCTCAAAGTGATCAACCGAATGACATGACTAACTTATAATGAGATTCAACCATTACAAATGAAAAGAACGATAATTTGCTTATATTATGTCGTCGATCTAATGACGAAAAGGTCGATGTTCGAAAAGAAATTGGTCGACTGCATTATGGAGAGGTCAATCGGTTAGGGTTAAAGATATCTTCATGCCTCAAGTCAACACCATGTAGAGTGCTCTAACGACATTGAACCAGGTGAATTACGTTGCACTTAAAAGGTCGACGAGACAGCTGACGTGGTTGACTTATTGATCTCATGTATTGCACCAACAACTACCTTTGATGTTCCGATGTCTTTTCTTTTTTCACCAAACTCCAAAGTGACAAGAATTTGTTTATGGTGTGTTTGGATAGAGTGATTTGGATTTGGTATTTGTGATTTGGATTTCTAAATTTCAAATCATGTATTTGGATATTAATTACATTTGGTATTTGGATTTGTGCCAAATTTATAGGGTAATTTCCAAATACATGTCTAGTATATTACTCGTCTCCTAACAAAAGATTGGACCAATTTGTAAAATTTTCAAAGTTTAGATACTATAGTGTGAGATAAAAACATATAAAGATACCAAAATGTAATTTTACCATCAAAATTTTTGGAACTTTTTATCAAATTTTAAAAGTCTATGTACTAAATTGTTAGAAAAATAAATTTGAGAACCAAATTGTAATTTTCCAAATTTGTCGTAAGTAACCAAGAAATTCAAAATTAGAATTAAAAAGCAGAAAGTTTAAAATACAAACAAATTACAAATGAGTATCCAACAACAAATTTGAATTACAAGTATTTGAAATACATGCATTTTAAATACATATATTGCAAATACCTTACATTTCAAATACACCTATCCAAACGCAACCTTACACGATTTTTAGAGTGCTAAGTAATAACGTAGAAGGTTATCTATAGAGGTCTATGTTGATATTAACTCGAGTTAAGTGGTAGCAAAACCCTTGTTTAGTCCTGAAACCTTCGTAGTGTGGATACAATTCCAACACTTATAAGATAATAATCAATCGGTTGATTTATTTTTCTTTGTCATGGTGGATTTGTGTCGTCCGATCGATCGCTCTCATAAAATAATCCCCATTTTATCCAAAAAAATCCCGATGACTTACAAGTTTTCGTAACAAATTCTATCATATATTTGCATACTTTGTTAACAATCTCTCGCTATAACAAAGTAATTAACATTTGTATAACAAATTAGCATGATCACATTCACATTACCGTGTTACTTATATTCCCCCGCTCCCCTTAGATACGTCCCTTTCTCTTGCCTTAATGGCATTCCAGGTAGATTTCGAAAGATATTTGGGCAGTACAGCACTTTCCCCTTCCTCCATTTCCTCCTTTACCAAAGTGTCGAATATAATAAACAAAATTCAAATTAACTAACTAATTAATTAATCAACTTTATTAGCCACAATATAAAGCACCCAAAACTCAAAAACCTCCACTCTGTCTCTGCTCCCCCTTTCCTTCCTCCTCCTCTTCAAAAAAAAAAAAAACATGCCTCGCCGTACTTCCTCATCGGGAAACTTCGCCCGGAAGCTCCAGCCAGCCAAACGCGCCCTCCGCCGGCTGGCCCACAAGCTCCGATCCGACATCCCCCGGGCGATCCGGTTCGTTCGAAACGGCACGAAACGGGTCGTCACCTACTGTTCCACCCACCTCCTCCTCCGCAACAACAACAACATCAATCGCTCCTCCTCCCTACAGATCGTCGCCAAAACGCCGTCGTACCGTAGCCACAACCACCACAGCTACATCTCCGACTACTACAGCAGCAGCCGGAACCTCCTCCGCAAGAGCTTCTCCGCCATCTTCATCGACCAGCTCTACGCCGCCGACGACGGTCCACCACCACCCGCCGCCGCCTCCACCTCCGACGAGCATTATTCAATCTCCAAGCCAGCCTCGGCTGCCGCGGCGGCCGAGACGACGACGGATCGGGTGGAGATAGCGTCGGTGAGGGGTAAGGAAGTGGCGGTTAGTAATAGTAATGAGAAAAGGCCGCCGTTGCCGAGGAGTAGTTGTAGGGAAGGGGCGGCGGTGAGAACGGCGTCGTCTTTGGTACAGAGGAGGAAAAGGGAGGCGTTGGTGATTATGGAGGAGGTGGGTGGTAATAAAAATAACAATGGTGATGAGAATGGTAATAATAATCCGATGGAGACGCTGGAGGATGCGTGGCGGGAAGTGGTGGCGAGGTCGCCGCAGCTGCAGCCGGTGGACGTGAGGGCGGAGGAGTTCATCCACAATTTCAGGGCGGATATGAAGATCCAGAAGGCCAGGTCGGTTCTTGAGAAACAGAGCCTCTTGCCCAGGCGTTGCTGAATTTCATCGTGGGAGAATGTAAAATGTTAATTACGAATTTGATGGAATGATCTCGATTCCTTTTGTTTTTTTGGGTGGGTGGGGATTGAAGTGTGAATTTAAACAAAGGGGAGTATAGGGGCAATGATGATTGACGAGAGGAAGATTAGAGCAGGGTTTAGGGATTTATTCTCCAGAGAGGTTCAATTTTTTTCTGTTTTTTAAAAATTAGTCCCTTGATTATTAAGAGGGATTATTAGAAGGGTTTTGGTGTTAGAGGAGCCGAGGAGGGTGTTGCATGGTTTTTTTTTTTTTTTTTTTTGTACAGCCAGTGAGATTCCAACTGTGTTGGAAATTGGAATCTAACTGTACTTTACTTGTGCTTTACAGTTGATATGTGTTATCATAATTTGCAAGTAGGGATGATAGTGGGGCAGATTTAGAGTGGATTTCGCTAAAATCATCTACATTCCTAATTTTTCGTTCGTACTCATGTTCTCCTGGAATTCTCATTTGTATACTCGTGGATAATTATTTTCCAATATATGCTAATCAATTTCAATTTAAAATCAATATAATTGAGCCGATATAACGTATGCTTTTAGAGTTAAAACGTTCAGCAAACTTCATATATAATAGTAACTAGCTAAAAGATGTCATATACATGTTGACCGAAGTGGAAGGATGAAATGAATGTGTCAATATTCTTTTGGAAGATCAATACCATTTTCTTTGTCAATATTATCCATACTCGTTTCTTACCCGATCAATACAAGAATTTCACTAACATAAGAATACAATGATCATCCCTGCTTGCAAGAAAAATAGTGATTACCCAGGTGTCAACAAAATTTTGATTAATTTGGTAGAGAATGGAAGCTAAGTAAAGGGTGTTTGCATGTTCAACCGACATACAGGCATTGCATATATAGCATTAAGTACACGGTTGAAGGGTTGTGGTGAAAATATACCTGCAGGTTTGGGAAACTTGTGCCACTCAAAGTGTCATTGTATGTGATTCGCTTTAGGGTGATCGGTACTTGTACGAATTTTAATCTGTAGTTATCTGATTCAAACTCAACATTTATTCATGCATATATGGAAAAATATGGGCATCCTGTTATCAACGGGATGAAGGTCGGTTTGAATTGCCCATCTCTAAAGGGGAAAAGGATCGAGAGTACTTCTGCCAACTGCATGCCTGATTAGACAGTAGGGACATTGATCAAAAGCTATAGCTGCTTTTCTCATGGAGACAGGAGAGTGTTCAATGTTTATGGACGAACTCAATGGCACGATGGATAAGTTCTTTTCAGAGCAATAAACTTTAGTGCTCTAGAAAAAAAAAAACTAAAATGTGATTTTTTTTAACAAAAAATAATCATATTGATTGATATAAAATATCAAAAGTGTTAGAAGTATAAGTACTTATTTGTAATTAACTTTTTAGAGTTAATACTCGGCCAAGTATAAATAGGTTGTATGGTTGAGTTTCAGATGTAATGCATACGTGAACAATAAAAGATATCTCATGCCGTGGACTAGTCTCAACGATCATCATTGAGGAAACCACGTAAATATCGTGTTCTATGTTTATATTCTCTCGATTCAATTTAGGTTATTGACATGGTATCAGAGCCTCGCACTTTTGATCTCTGAGTTCGTGTTCTGGTCTGTGAGCTGGGTTTTGGCAACTCTTTGTTCTGGTGCTTCTCACTGGTGGGCGGCCGATTTTTGGTTTTCTTTGTCAGCGCCTCTCTTGGTCTCAGCCGCTTCTGGATTTCTATTTTGTGGACTCGGCGGTGCTCTTTCTCCAGGTTCCCTCAGCAGTGTTTTTTTTATCTTTCTCGGCGGCAGTTTGGATCAAGCTTCTTCCAGCGCTTATTCGAGAATCGGCGGTGGTAATTTGTGTTTTGGGATTTCTTCTCGTGTGATTGGACCAAGCCTCTTCCAGCATCGGCTTTGTCCTTTCTCCAGGTCCCCTTGGTTTGTTCTCTGCTCATCCGTGTAAGCTGCTATTTTTTTTTGGGCTTTCGGCTACAGCGCTGCTGAGGCCTTTCTCCATGTTCCCTTGGTTTGTCATCTGCTCATTCGTGTAAGCTGCTGTATTTGGGATATTACTACTTGCTTTTTAATTCAACATGGAAGGGTTGAAGAATGATGCTATAACGGTTTGTTTTACCGATAAGAACTATGTTTTGTGGGGCTTTTCAATTCAAGCTTCATGTTCAAGGTCGACGTTTGCTGTCTTTTCTTGATGGTTCAACTAAGGAACCTGATGCGGATGCGACGCCGAAGGCTAAGGAGGATTGGGTTGCGTCCAATGCTAGTGTTATGTGTTTTTTGCTTGGTACGATGGACCCGTGCATTGCTTTGAGTTTGCAGGATTTTTCTACGACATCGATGTTAAAGGCTATGCCTTACTTCATTCCCTCAAGGAGATGCAATCAAAAGGTTTTTTATTTAATTTCACGAGTCGAAACGAAGTTCAACGTAATCCGGAAAAAGACTAGAACATAAGAGGAGCCTTGATAAGCTCGAGTTCCTGGCAGCAAGCCCCAACTCAAGCTATCTAGAGACTTAATCCGAACCCAATCCAAAGACTCCCAAAGAACTGACCAGTTCTCACTGAGTTGAGGAAACTGTTGAGTCTTCTTTTTCCAGGAGAAGTCTTTATATAGAATCAGCCGCGCCATTTGTCAGTCTCTTTCATCTTCAATGCAGCTTACCGTTTGATTGAAATAATGATGGAGAGAGCTGATGCACAAGAGACTCGCAGAAAGCTTTGACTGTTTGATGATGATGATGATGATGATGATGATGAAACCAAGGAATGAAGGTGAAGACGCGAACAAGGGTCTTGACGAGGACAGAGAAGATGCAACCGCGTCAGGTGGGCTTTTGGACGAGTGGGCCTTTTGGTTCTGGGAATGGAGACGAGGCAAGGCCCAACAATCTCCCCATGCATTCAAGCCTTTATTCCTGCAAGCATCCAAAGCAAAACTGAGGTACCTAGTTCTACAGATTTTCCAGAATATAGGATAGACTTTTATTTCATATGTTGCAGATGGATCTTGACAGATATGGGATCAGATACAACAATTTAGATATGGCAAAAACAAAACATTCTTAGACCATTATGGTCTTTAAACAGAATAAGATATTTTCTTTAGAGGTTGGCATTCTAATGATTGTTCCCCTTTTACTCCCCCTGAGTCCCAGCATCCTGATGATTGTTGTCCTGTGACTCCCCCTGAGTTCTAGCTACTCCTTCCATCATATCCCTTTCAAGGTCTTCAGCAAAGAGTCTAATGTCCTTATCAGATATAGATTCAGGTTCCAGTTCAGCCTCTTCTTCCTCAAATGAAATGATTAGGTTTTTGCAAATAGAAGAGGAAGATTCCCCAAGTTTCAGAGATTTTGAAACAGACTTGGAGTTGGGTTTGGCTATCCTAGCTGCTAGATCTAAGGTATCTCCCCCTTTCGAAGTCTGAGGATCAACTCCAATAAAGTTCAAGACAACGAGAGCAGGGATGGAAACAGGTGTTTCAACAGAGGAGTATCCATCAAGGGAAATACCAAGATTGGAGAGCAGAAGAGTGATGAAGCCACCATAAGGGAGGCGACCCCCAAGATGAGCATCAGCACTTCGAACGATTAATCCAAACAGTAGTTGGGAATAGTTAATTTTTCGTCCAGTGAGGGCATTGGAAAGCACCCAGAGGTCAAGTTTGGTGACAATATGAAGGCCATTGTTTCGGGGCAAGAACAAATGGGTGATAAAATAGTGGAGGGTGTGCAGAGTAGGGTTCAGATCAGCTAAGGTGATGATTTCATTAGCCCCTACTGGACACTGAGTAATGCGAGAATACTCGATCACATGATCAAAGTCATAGAACATAAACTCATCCTCATGAGCAAGAGGAAGGGGTCCTCCAGTGGGGAGATTCAGAAGAATACCAAGAGCTTCAGAGGTGAGTGAAATGAAGTACCCATTTACCAAAGTAGTCAGTTTTCTTGTGGTGATCCCCTGACAGTCCAGGTTGGCATAGAACATGCGAACTGGAAGTGGGCAAGCAGCAAGGGGAGGGTAGTGTAGAAGGAATTCCCAACCCAGGTTTATGATGAATGGTGTAATGTCGATCCCATGAGATTCGAATTCAAACAGATCAAGGGTAATGGGATCAGACAAACGGTGTGAGGCATAAAATTCCTTGAATCGATGAAGGTTGAAGTCAATAGGCTCATTGAAGGTTCTGCCAAGTGCCAACATAGGTAACGATGGCACCAGGAATGTTGGAGGGTGTAAAAAGCTCAGTCATGATGAATGAGAGAATATTGGTGGGAAGGCAAGTGAGGCGAAAGGGAGCAGGGAGGATGAATTATATAGGGAAGACAGAATAGCAAGAGTTGCAACTAAGTTTTTGGGAATCACAATTCATGGAAAAACTAAACATCACATGCATGAACTAACAATTATTAGGAAAACAAGACAGGCATAAATGAAGCACTTATTGAACCAGCATAAATAAGTACAGAAGTAAAGGAAGAACAGAACCTGGTTTAGTGACTGTCTTGAATGGAGTGAAGTGACTGCAGACCAAATTCGTCACAAAGTCGTATGAATCGTTCAGAAGAAAGCACCTTGGTGAAAATATCCGCAATTTGAAACTCAATGGAGATGGAGTTTAATTCTATATGACCAGCTTGAATGATATCTCTGATAAAGTGGTGTTTGACCTCAATATGTTTGGTTCTACTGTGATGAACAGGGTTTTTAGACATACATATTGTGCTAGTGTTATCACAGAGAACTGGAATTTGTTCAAACTTAAGACCATAGTCAAGGAGTTGGGATTTTAACCAAAAAATTTGAGTGCAATAACTCCCTGCAACAACATATTCACCCTCTGCGGTTGAGAAGGCCACAAATCCTTGTTTTTTACTTGACCAGGACACAAGAGAGCGACCAAAGAATTGACAAGTACCACTTGTACTTTTTCTATCAGTAATGCTCCCAA